TTTATATTAAAAACCTTCGAAACTCAAAAATAATAAACATCTCACTATTACTTGAAAAAAAAGAAGAAGAACAAAAAAAATATTATATATATATTTTATTATTTAATATATAGTATCAAGTTGGGCTCGAGCTCGGGCTGGGCTTTTTTGATAAAACCCGAGCCTGACCCAAAAAATGTTGAGCCCGGTGCTTTAGGCTTGAGCCCAAGCCCACAAGCCTAAAATTATGACTAAGCCCGACTTAATAATAGGTCAACGGGCTGGCCCGGCCCATGAACAGATCAAGGTACTAGTGCTGAAAATATTTCCTAGAGCATTGGTACCAAACAAAAAACATTGCTGTTGCTCTAGGAAACGTCCTACCTGGCAGTAACCTTTTCAAACAAAAAAAAAAAGACACATTTTCTTAGAAAACAGTGCTTCCAACCCACACATGAGAAGCACCGTGGTATATCTGCATCATCGATGCCAAACATACACTGATTCTACCGATTAAGTTTCTTCTTTAATGGCTGATGTCATGGTTGGTGAAGCTTGTTGCAGCCTTCTCGACCCATGTTTAGTTATTTCTTCATTTTCTTGGTGGGCCCTGTTTCCGTTCAGCTGCCGTAATTTGAGTTTCAGGATGGGAAAAGTAGTGATGAGAGATACCAATACACCTCTGAGATAAAGGGATTTACCATGTTTGATTTGCCGGAGATGAAAAAGACGACCATGCTTTGGTTCCCTGTGGAAATTGAGTTGCAGAGGAAGTTTCCGGCAGAGATCGATCAAGAATCTTTTATTCTTTATTTTGAATCCAAATAAGAAGCCCCAAGGGCAGTTTGTAAATTGTCCCAACCCCCAATGTCAGTCATCAAAGATGACTGGCTCCCCTTGGTTCAAGTTGAAATGTGCATCTAGCATGATGATTGATTTGAAGTGGACACGCAGCCAGCCCTTCCAATTGAAAATTGAAATAACTCCCTCCGCTGGTAAGCTGACAGATGGGAAATTTGGAAGTGGGAGTGGTAGATGATGCAGCCATGGCGCCTCCCAGTTTACATAAGAAATTGCCAGTAAGTTTGGAAATCCAGAGGTCATGTAGTAGAATTCAGAAAAAAAAAAAAAAAACATAATAAAGCCTGTAGGAGAGAATTCGCAAATAAAATGATTCGTCCACATTCGACAGCAATAGCCGTTATAAATGGAGATGCGGGGTATCGATCCCCGTACCTCTCGCATGCTAAGCGAGCGCTCTACCATCTGAGCTACATCCCCTTTAATTTTTAATAACGTTTATACCTTTTTAAATGTTAATCTGTCGATTTCCTGCCCAACCCATGATATTAATATTGTCTCGTCGAGGTTAGAAGTTAGCATGATTTTCTTATCCATGTCAAGGTTTGATAAGTTTCAATGAAAACTAAAACATGAAAGACGCTCACTGCTGGACCAGGGACGATCATCTCTCCTGAGCTTTGAATATATAAATACTTTAATGATGAATAAACTTTGTAGTGAATGGATTAGCTATGTGTTTCAGGCTGTGGGAGTTGGGAGGGTGTTAGAACGTGTTTAGTTGGTAGTTGTTCCAAAGTCATTGTTGTTTGTCAATGGTTTTTAAAATTAATCCGGAAACCGAACTGGTTAGGGGTCCGGTTATTAGGTTGAACGGTTGGCCTGTTTTGACAAAAAAATAAAAAATAAAAAATAAAAATCGATTAAAACCATTCAAATGGTTTGAACGGTTCGAAAGATTAATCGCTCGGATCAGCAATTTGCTGACTAAAATCAACGGTTTTTATGGAAAATCTGATTTTGGGGAAATTGAAATCGGTCACCTGACCGGTTCCGGGTTTTTCCGGTCCAGTCCGGTTTTGAAAATAGTGACAAACTTTGTCAAGATTGCATTTGCTTTCTAGTTTATTATTAAATGAGAATCGAGATAAACTTTATACTTCGATTCAATTTTGTTCACATTTGGTTTTAGTGTAAGTTTTACTTGAAAACCAATGTAAAGATTACATTGATTTTACCGATATAAATTTTTTCATGCACTAACTATACCTTTTTCACTTTAATGGTTCATTATATTTAAACTGATCGATTTCACTTTTCAATCGATGTACTTTTACATTGTAAAAAATTTATACTAAAAACAAACACAGCCTTTGGGAAAAAACTAAAAATAGAAGGTATACAGAAAGGTCAAAGTCCCCCGATACACCCATTCCGATAAGGGTGTCAATAGACCAGTTTTGGATTGGATTCCGTCCAGTCCAAAATCAATTTGGATGGACCAACAAGATATATTGGATTAGACCGATTTAATCCAAAATATTTATTAGATTGGATTGGACCTGGTCCATCCGTAACAAATTTATATTAGACATATTGGATTCCACCCAGTTATCTCGTTGCAATTTTCACGTGGGAAAAAACAATCATTTTTCTTTTGAGATCATCAGCTTTTGCGGCTTTCAATTTTCAAATGGACTTTTGGATAGTTCAATAATCCTAACGCATCAGAGTTTGGCTTCAGTCCAGGCACGTTGCGTCCAGGCAACGTTCGCGCATTCGGAGGACGTGCCACGTGCCTCCGAATCATGTGAAGGGATGAAGCATGTGAGAAGCTCATGCTCCTCTCCTCTTCTGTTGCAGATGAACTTCGCACTCTCTCTCCCCATCTGCCCGGTGGCGATTGCACAACTATCACTGCTGGAGGCAAACAATCATTACCGGCGGCGGAATCAACCTCAGGTATTGTATTTTTTGCATCTCTTCTTCTTCCATAGCAAGTAATGAAGAATTCACCGACTACAATTCTTAACCGCATGCACCACTCATTGACTGAAATCTACTCTCTCCATGTCCTAATTGTGGGGAATACTTCAGTAAACTTTGGTAATTTGAAACCATTCTCCTTCGGAATCCCAGAACAAGTTTTCAAGTGTCAAATAAAACATCTTATAGAAGGTAATGAAACCAAAGCCAGTCAAAGACTATATGGAGGAATACGGTTGCTATCTGACCTGTTTTTCATTGGAGAAGGGATCAGAAAAAGTCCGCCTCCAAGAGCTCGTCAACCCAATACACTGCGACATCGATTCGTCGAACCTCTGCGATAGTTGGTGCTAGTGAATTTCCATCGACAACACTTGCCGGTGCAAGAATTCCTCCTTTGCCGCCATTTTCCTCTACGATCACCCTCTCCTCTTGCTCGTTGACCCAATATCTTTCGCGTCCTTCTTCGGCATGCACATAAATCGATTACCCATCTTAAACAAATTGAATTATTGAAGGCAAAGAACACCCATGAATGGCTTTGCTAATTTCATTGGAAAATGGATGGAATCACAAGGGTCTTTGGCTCAGGGGAAGAAATGTGCTCTTAAAGAAAACCCAGCTAGGACTTCCCATTTTATTATCTCAATGGAGAGAATTTAGGTGAGATTGGTCGAACAAAAAAGAGATTTGACAAGAGAAATAGAGGTAAAAAATGATCCGGAAAAGATTCAACTGAAATGGACATTAAAAGCTTTATATATATATATATTTTCTACTCTCTCTCTCTCTCTGAATTACAACCTCAGTGGGTGGGAAACAATTAATGCTGGTTAGGTTTATCTTCCGTCTGAAAATGGAAAATTTTACGCTAACCTGCACAGGTAGAATGCAAATGTAGAGACCGAAGAGAGCTGAAGATTTCAGTCAACGAGTGGTGCGTGCAGTTAAGAATTGTAGTCGGTAAACTAACTCTTCATTACTTGCAATGGAAGAAGAAGAGATACAAAAAATACAATATCTGAGGTTGATCTACTGTTGATGATGATTGTTTGTCATTGACGGTGATGGTTGTGCAGTTGGCCAGGCAGATGGGAAGAGAGTATAAGATTCATCTGCAAGAGGAGAGGAGCTGAACGCTGAAGGCTTCTTGCATGTTTCAGCCCTTAACATGATTCGGAGACACATGGCGTATCCTAGGAATGCGCGAACATTGCCTGGACGCAGCATGCCTAGACTAGACTGAAGCCGAACTCGACGTATTGAGCGATGGACCCTTGATGGACTGTAATTATTGACCCGGACCAACTCCGACTTTGATTACCTGCCAATAAAATACATTCGGGCAGTAAATGCTGCCCGAATGGGCTTTTGCCCTGACAGAAGCCGACATTTCATAATTGACGGGTTTCACTTCCGTTACAGTTGCTTTAATTCCCAATGTAAGGTAAATGAGCCACTCAAGAAACAAATTACTCGCCCCTACTTCCCGAAAAATGACTAAGCCCTAAGTGGAAAAAGAAGGATCTCACATTGAATGGAGTATATGGATCCGTCCATCTGTTACATGATCCCTTCAATGAAAACTCACCACGTCATCCTAAAAAAGTGAGACTTAACAACAATTCTCTTTCTTCTTCTCCTTCTTCCCAGGTCCCACTAATCTCTCTTCCGTGCCACTCCATCCCCAACACTCTCTCTCCTTGGTCCCACTCCCTCCCCAACCTTTGTGAACGAAGAATCAGTACAGCCACTCCAAATCGCTCACTACTTTTCTCCTCTCTTCCTATCCCTCCTCCTCCTCTTCCTTCAATTTTGAATAAATTTTACAAGGGGCACAACGAAGCTAAGCAGAATTGAGAATAAATTTTATTAGTTTTATAAAAATGAAAGGGGCACAGCACTTCAGATGCAGATTTCATTGTTGATAGAAGATGAAAGGGTCCCATCTGGCCTGTAAATATGAATGTGGTGATCCGGTTCTGTTCCTGAAATTAGAGAAAGATGGAATGATCGACAGCAGCAACCGCCAGCAACCATTCAACCATTCAATGATTGTTGCAAGCAATGAATTGTGAATCCGAGTCTTTACATTCAGTTGAGAAGAAGAACTCGTATCTACTATATAACTGCAGTCAAAGTCAAATTAAATTTTCAATTTTTAAGATGACGTGGTCATCTTTCATTGGAGAGTCCACGTAAAAGGTGGATCGAAGGATCCATAGAATGTGAGCTTAAAAAGGACTTTTAAGTCTATTGATTTATTACTCAAACACAGCCAAACAATACATTTCTTACATTGACTTTTTTGACGACCCTATTCCTTTCTTGCATATGGGGGGAAGGAAAAAAAATCCATCTAAATGACTTTCATCGATGACTCTGAGATTCTTGCTTTAATTCATCACTAAATGACACACAAATGTTACAATAAAATCACAAAGGAAAAACACCCAAGACGTGAATCTGTGCAATCTACATAGCTTTATTATGTTCTAATGACACGCTAGCTGTGAGAGTTTTATTATTTGAATGCCATGGAACGTTACTAATTAGTTCGGTGGCATTGCAGGTGCAACAACATAGTCCACGGTCAAGCTCGTTGTCGGTGCCATTGCAGGTGCCATGACGGAATTCATAGACAGGCCCGACTCCGGTGCCGGTGCAACAAGACCGGAGCTTCGGATCTCCGACATCTCTCGACGAGCATTTGCTCCTTGGGCTTCGCATAATTTAGGAAGAAAAATGCCTGTTGGAAAATGCCAAAAACAAGTTCTGCATTAATTTTTCATCGAAAAGTCATACACACATTTAACTTAAATTGTTCAACAGAAGCTGATTGATCATGTGACTATGATCGATCCCATCAACTACCTTCACAAGGATTTCACAGTCAATCTGATTTAAATGTGGGGTATGGGCCATGGGGTTAAAACTTAAATACAGTATTAGACAATTTATCTTTAGTTGTTTACCTTCTCCGGCAGCCAGGTTGAAGTAGAGATCGATAATGTTGGGGCAGTTGTCATAACACCGGGAAGAGCAAAGCTTATGTACGAAGCAAGGCTCTACAAGGGCATCAGAGGATATCCCCAAAGTGTTGCGATTGAGCCCACAAGCTTGAATGCACTCATCGGTTTCAACCCAGTCTTTGAGCTTATCGGCCTCTATCTCCGACGTCCGGCATGTGTACACCTCATCGCCGCTTCTCTTTACGTGCTTCTCCAGCACACATCGAGTACCAGATGATGACACCGCGAAGGCGCAGGTGTTTTTGTCCAGATGCTCACACGTTATCCCTCCTGCATGCAACCATGAACATATAAATTAATAAACACCGATTCACTGAAACTGATCAAAGGAATTCCGATCCATTTGGGGGCAGAATAAACATTAATATATTATACCTAAGGTGCCTTGTACACAGAGAGAAAGTGCAAGAGCCAGGCTTATCAGAGCCTTTAAGCTAACGAAAGAAGACGCCATGGGCGGAGTGTAAATGGAGATGAGAAGCTGATGGGGTTGTAAAGAGAAGCCAAGGTGCTGCTTCTCTTCTTGAAGGAATGCTGTAGTCTGTTAGGGCTGGTTGAGGGGTCGAGGTTAGCGCAAATTTATAGGGTCTCAATGAACTTGTCATCGTGACCAATATTAAATTAAGATGAAGAGATGTGAAAAGGATGTAAACCCTACTGATCTTAAATCTTTGTGAAGCTGGTCGCTTGTGGAGTCCCACACCGGTGGCTTGGTTCCATCGCTTCCACATGACTGACAAAGTCGTGTCTTGGATAGATTTAATTTTTCTTCAATGGCTATGACAGCGTTGATAAGGAACGTTCGTATGAATTTAGAATGATTTTTTGAGAGCGATACTCCTTTCCAATCTATTCCCTGTCAAAGGGGACCTAGTAGACATCTGGCTAGTCCAGTCCAAGCGTCAAAAAAGGGATCAGTAATTGTTTATGTAACTCTCTTAGAACAACTCTTCTTCCCATTATTTATGTAACTCTTAGACTTCTTCCCATAATTAAAATAGTTTGACCTCCTCTATTTTGTAAAAAATTCTCTTCTGTATTTTCTGATAAATACTTAAATTTCCCCTGTACTTTGATCTCTAGCGTACACACACCCCTTCCATTAATTGCTTTGGTGAAAAAAATGTTCAGCCTCAGTTTGGAACGAGTATAAATACAAATATATAGAGTGCAGAATCTTGTATTTTGTATTCTTTTGTATGTATTTGCATTTGTGCTCTTTCCAAATGTAATGCTTCAAAGTTTTCACTGAGCTTATCTGTTTTTGTTCCCTCCCCTCCCCAAAAAAAAAAAAAATCAAAAATAATTTTATTGGAATGAAGATTTATTGAATTACTCTCCAAAAAGTTAATTCATTTTATTGAAGTTGATTTCATTATTCGCTTCATCAGATGAACAACTAAGCCTAAATTGGGGTTGAAGTTAAACCTCCCTTATTAGAAGAAACGCCATACTTAACTAAGCAATCTCAAGAGAGAAACAGTGGTGTTCATTGTGCACATTCATAACAAGAGCATAGTTGTAATTTCAAACATCTATTTTTACTAACAGCTGAAATTGTGCATTTTCATGTTTATTTGAAACATGAAGGGAAGTTTTTGGTAGATATCAAAGCAAAAGGAAGGTTTAATTATTTATTAGAAAACACAGGAGGTTTAAAGAAATTTTCCCTAAATACACGGACATACTTTGGACATGTTTTTCCAAGGGTCCTGAATATGTGTCGAAAAAAGCAAACAAAGAATTACATAAATTCAGAATTACAATTGGCTACAACTTTTATGATTTCAATTGACGGGTGAGAGGTTTTTTAGATATCACATCCTCGTGGAAAAGAAAAACAACTTTTTTTTTTTTTTTAATTTTTTAATGGTAGGTAGTTAGTAGACTTATGGTTCAGATTTGGTGTGCCAGGAATTTGAACCATATTTTGTACCGTTAGGAGTGTCGAGGGAAAGAAGATCCGTGCATTTTTTGTCCCAGCTAGTACCATTTTCCATGACAAACTCCCCAATTTTAGGACCTAACCCTAAGGCCAGGGGCGGCGTTGGATAAATCTATTAATGCAGAAAGCTAAGCTCACATCCGGGTCGGGAAGAATAGGTTGGTTGGTTGAACTAGATTCAATTGCCGCAGGCGGCAGGCCGCAGCAATATAAACTGGATCGGGTTAAAAAAATGCTTGATTCGATCCTATCTGGATCAAGCTAAGGTAGATGGGCGAGGAGAAAACTAGACTTTTCGGAGGAATTCTCGAATTCAGATTCACGTTACATCCCCAGTCCCCACTCAAACTCAAGGGGGGAGACTAGGAATAGTTATTTCACGACTAAACAAGGTCTAATAATGCTGGAAGAAGAACCAGATAGAAATTAGGCGAGATTTCCTACGAACTGATTGAATGATTTGAAGTGTACCTTGCATGTCTCATTAATTTCTTTCTTCTGCTCCGTCAATTGCGGACAAACCCAAATGCCCAATTAGCCTTCTCTTTGATTAATTAGTTGGGGTAAGGAGCGTTAAGAAGGTGTATGGTGTTTGGTATTAGGGTCGTTTTTTAAGGTGTTTTTCATATGCCGTGAAGCATTTTGCTCTCTCTGTTATTTTCAAGTCGCTTCAAGCAATGTTGCGGTGAGAAACGATAATTTCTCCATATTTTGTCTCTATGTGAATGCAAATATGTAAATTGTAAAGTTGGGTTAGTTTTGTATTGACAAATTTATTTTCTTATCAAAAAGACTTTTAGTTGTAATGGATGTAAATACGAATTCTAAAAAATTACATGTTTTTTTTTTTAATCACAAACCCACTTAATGCAAATTTATCTATTGTAAATATGCATTGGTTTGTCATTTAACAATACAAAACTGTAATATTGCCAAACACTGGCAAAAATAAACCAGAATACAAATTTACCCTAAATCGGGATTTACACTCTACTGGTCCTTGTATTTATTAATCGACGCGTACTGCTACTGGTCAAGCTAAAAGTCTACCATTTTAGGTCGATCATTTGTCGTTTAGAAAGTGATCTAACACTAGAGGAAAATTCCAATCGTAAAGCCAGGTTCATGATCTTGGCATTTAATTTCTTCCTAAACACTTAACTGGTGTCAGGTAGAAATTTGAGTTATCCAGAAAAAAGAAAGAAACTGTAACAAATGAAACCCCCTAAAACTAAATATGTAATTGTTAGGGTTACCACAACTAGAATAAGAACAAATGAAATACTATGTATTGTTAACATATTTTTCAACTTAGTAAAGAAGTGAAGAAGGTTCATCTGACTTTCTTTCATGCTGTTAATTAAAAATTAAACTTAAATTTCACGCAATAGCATTAGAAAATTAATAAATACCTATTGATTGCACAAACCTGTCAATATTAAACCCTTTTGACGGGTAAATGGGCGATCACTGCAAACCTTTATGGAAATTGCCCTCTAACCATTCCTGGCTTGATATTCCAAGAGCTTTCAAATAAGTCGACGGTCTAGGGAAGAAAACTTTGAAATCTCCAATTTAGCAATGTTGAAAGCCAATCCAACGCTGACGTTGAAAGAAGGTCCAACCTACTTTCCGTGTTGACCACAAGACTCTCAAGTCTAGCTGCTTCTGGATAGGCCCATTTTGGGAACAAGCCTGAAGCTCCTCTTTGTAACAATGAAAAGAGGCTTAGAAATTATTGGTTTCAGACTTTCAGATCGAGTGACAATTTCTAGATTTGAACACACTTGGGAAAACATACTTTCTTTTCTTTCTTTTTTTAGGGTAAATTTCCCTGAACTTTGTGACCATTGCTGACGTAGTTACAAATTAATGAGGCTGATTTCTAATCAAAAAAATAATACGGACTTAATGACTAACAACAATAAAAAAGGTTTAAAGTTGTAGTTTTACCTTTAGAGTCCGTTTGGTTGCTGAGAACGGATGGGATGGGAAGGGAAAATTTATTTCTCATTTTGGCATTCTGGTATTTGATTGCTGAGAAGGGAAAATTACTGTTGATTGTCGTCCTTCCCACTCAAACCAGTGGTGTGGACAAGGTGAGTTCCAATCTCCCCCCTCATTAGTAAAAGAAGAATGCCCAGAAAAACTGAGATCCATACCTTGATGAAGTTATTGATCTCCCCGCCCATTCTCTCTCTCTCTCTCTCACATTCTCTCTCTGTGCTATAGGTTCTGATCCCCTCTGGGTTTTTGCCTATTACTTCGTTAGTTTTCTTTGCTTTTGAGATGGAGCTGATGTGAAGATGTTTAGTTTGGGGGCTGGAAATTGGTTAATGGCATTCATGACTGTTGGTTTTGGCAACAGAATGGTGTTCGATGGGAAGTATTTGGGGGTCGGAAACCTGGCCGTCAATTGAAATGGTGGGTGAGTCATGGTGGCTGCCGGGAGTTCAGTCTGGTGTTGTTCCCGATGGTTATTGGGCAACCATTTGGTGTTTAGAGGCATGTTCAGTTTGGTGTTGTGGTGGCTGTCACAGGGTGTTGAGTCGTGAGTTTTTCTTTTCTCACCGAGGTCTCACCATTTTAGTGAGACCCCGCATCCCAGTTTTTGATAAGTGATATCCCATCGTTTCTCGCACCATTCCATCAAACAAATACGGGTTTCAAAGAATCTAATCCAAATATTCCATATTTCTCATCCACGTGGCAACAACCAAACATACTATTAGGTTGATTAATATGAAGGAAAATTTTGAAAAATAAATCAATTTTGGAAAAAAGATTGAAGAGGCTTGGGATAGTGGTTGATATGAAAAAAAAATTTCAAAAATAAACATTGTGATCAAAAGTAACTATATAGGCATTTTAGACATTTTCATGCCTCTTGTTAAAAGATTCTAACAGAGAAGGGGTCTGCTTGCAACTGCGTTAGAAAGTTCAGGTAGATGATTGTAATTACCAAACTTCAAGAAAGGTTTCAGCAATGGCCAAAAACATCAGGGGAGGATTCAGCAAGTTACCCTTCTTTTAAGACCCTTAAGTTCTAGATGGAGGGGTAGCCACCTTTAATTTTATTAACCATTATTAAAAGGGATGAGCAATATTACAAGGTAAGTTATAGGCTGCCTCTTGCCCCAAAACTCAATACAAAAACACACATTCTCACCATCTCAACCGTACCCAATACAAGATTCAATCAAAGCAAGAAGTACATACAGAACACAAGACCATTCACCTATATGAAGAACAAAAATCCTCAAATAGTCTTCCTAAAGCAGCATTTTGTGCTCTGTAGAATACCCTATTTGGTAGGATAAATCTGAAATCTTTCTTCATTGAGCTCATTTTTGACCTATATGTAACCCTCGTATTTGAGCTCATTAGGAATGGCAATGGGGCGGGGGTCATATTCCCCGTACCCAATCCCAATTCTGAAATTAACCCCTATCCCTGTCCTCGATCCCCGCTAGGGATAAAATTTGTCCTTCATCCCCGATCCTCGATGGGGATGGGTTGGGTTTCCAATCCCCGATTTTTTTTAGATAACAATACTTTTTTGAAAAATAAATTTATTTAAAATAAATAAAATATTAAATTATAAATAGTATTTTAA